AGAAAGGTTGTACCAACTTATGTTGGTACATAAGTTTTTTGAAAAAGGTCTATTACTTAAGGAGTAGTTAACAAACAACAAAATCCGAATATTTTTTGAGCAGGTGTATTAAAAACATGCCGCGAGCCCTGTGTTACTTTAACAAGTGTCAATGTAAATGCGATTAAAAAATGATCTATCATTATATTTGATAATGATAGTAATTAATGTAGTTTTATGATGGACATTTTATTAGTGCGTTTTAAAAGCACTTGGATTAGTTACTTGCATTACATATCGAGCCCATTTAGTACTTCGACATTCTAAAAATAAATGGGTGGTCGATGTATTGCTGTTTCCATTGAAGGTATAAACTGGTACCAATAGACGAATACTCTTAAGACATTGAAAGTATAGTTAATTAGTTATAAAAGTGTAACACTGTCAGGATCACGCAGTTTATATTTGTTGAGATGAAGTACATTCTTCTTTAATATTTACCTGTGCTAAAACTAAGTATTGAGTGTTTGACTTTAATTTCAGAATCTCTCAGTAACACGATTTGATTCTTACAGTACTTTTTACAGTAATTTTTACCGTTCGAATTATTTTTTCTAATATCTTTCTCTTAAGTCTTTGCCTCAACCAAGTTTAAGTAGAGATTTATGGCATTGAGTCACTATAATATTTCTGTAGTATATCTATGTTACTTCTGTATATATTATATATATATATTATATACATGTATATATTAATGTATGTTTTATTTTTATATTGTAACCTTATGTCCTACGAAAAATAGAAACCATGAAGAATATAACATATATTTGAATTTTAAAACGTCCAATAAATTGAAGCTTCTTCAGTGTTACTCGCAAAACTGTTTTTAACTTTTATAATGGGTATCTTGAGCAAACTTAAGTCCACATGATCTATTAAACATAATAATAGTTCTAAAGAACTACGTTTAGTATTTGTTATAAATTCAGAGTTAATTGACAGAAAAAGTTAAAGTTGAAGTTAATAATCGCAATAATTTTACTATGTAATGTTATGCGAATTAAAGAATTCAATCGACAAGCAGAATGTTATACGATGGCTAGGACACGTTCAGCATATGAACCGAGTACGTTCAGTAAAATAAGCACTTATAAGAAAACTAATTGGATCCTGAAGAACAGGCAGACTGAGAATTAGGTGAGCGATTGGAAAAATTTGGCATCGGATAGAGTTAAATGACTGGTCCCTCCAGGACTGTTATGCTAAGAAAGAAGAAGAAGATATTTCTATGATGTTTTCATAGTTAAATCATCATATACGCTTAGATAATATGTCACATAATTATTATACTTCCTGCTAATACATAAATTGTCCCCTATTAAAGCATTATATTTTTAGAGATTCCCTACACTATCTGTATCTATATATATAGTTATTCAATGATTAAGGCATTACCCTTTTAGATATTCTCACCGTCACACTCACTGCGATCCATTAGATTTCTATATATATATTTAGATATAAAAAAAACTTGTTGATAACATTGAAATCTATTAAAAGATAAATTAGGTATGTGCTTTGAAAATAACTATTTTAAAATCTATAAATTTTGTGTTCATTAAATTTCACTTAAAATATATTTATTTTTAAATAGTTATAGTTTAATTACTTTGATATTATGTACGTCTAAAATATTTATTAGTAATGAATCATTCTTGATTTAACGATTCACAAATATCTTTATTATAAATGAACACTTTAAGTAAAGTATTATATAAGTACTATATAATGATGTTTATTATTTTAATAGGCGTAATGAATACATAAATAAATTTTATAATATTTGAAGTTAAGTTGACTCATGTTGAAATCATTTATATGTTAACTATATACAATATTAGTAAGTAATATATGTAATACATTACCTGTTTTAAGTTATTAATTTATTTAATATGCCGTATATTACTTAAAAAACCACAGAAATGGTTTAGGAAATACATGTAGTTTATGAGTTTCTTAAAAACTTTCAAGTCTATTAATAAGGATATGGATCATGAGCTCACTCCGTATTATCTTTGTGAAATAATCATTTTTATCTTTCTTTAATGGAAAATTTGTTCGTTATAAAATTTTATTTTTAAAGAACTACTTTTTTTTTTTTAATATTAAGAAAGTTTTGCAGAGACTGAAATAAATACTAGTTAGATGGTACAAGGTCCAGCCTATATGGTGAATACATCAAACTTCTTAATCAAGTTCCGTCAATTTATTCCAAAACATAAAAAATGTGTGTGACTAAACATTGTCATAATGGATCAAATTAATCATTGTAGCAGGCTACATCAATTCGTAACAGACAATTTCCTTCCAATCCGTCCAAATTCGAAACTTAATCTTGTTTGCGGACAATCGAGCCTTTGTGGTCGTTTGTGGAGGATCACCAGGTTTTGAGAATGATCGCTTGCGTTGAATATTATAGTATTTAATCAATTTTTTATTGCCCGCAATGATTGGCTTTAAAAATGGTTTGATTTCGTTGTAGTTGAGCAGACTTTCACTGATTGTAGTTCGGTCAATCAAATTTATTTGGATAATACATACATACAATTTAGGATATTTCTTCAGATATTTCAATAATTTCTAAATCAATTAATCTGTTTACACGAGCGACGAACTACACAACAAACTTTACAAAAAATGTAGCTTGAAATATCGTCTTCAAAACCTTTTCGTTAGATATAATTGGATAAGTGTTGTCAGATACCATCTAGAGACAAAAAACGGTGGACATATTTTATGTTACATAATATTTGCAATCGTTAGTATGAAGGCCTCAAAATTTGCATCCATTACAAAGATTGGTCCGGGTATATGTTTTTTATATATACAGATTTGTATTTCTAGACAATTAATTGTAGGAAAAATAATATTTTTTTTAATGATATAGTATGGTCAAGTTATTATGTGACTCTGAGATAGATATCGCACCCAAAAAGTAATAGATATTCTCGTTTCACAGTAAAGCCAGTGTGCACTTTTTTTACTCTACTTAACCTCTACTTAAAAATATCTTAGGTTTGCGTAATCGATTACATATTTAGTGTCAGGAAGTGTGGCTACGTCCAAAGTTGTTTTGTGCCGAAATTGCAATAGGATGTAATATTTTTTAAAACTGATCAGACGACTCGTCTAAAGTTTCAGAAAATTCTCTGATCTTTATATGAAAATAATCCAATACCATTTTCCACATATTCGTCAGTAGTGTAAAGTCTTGGCAGAATGGTCTTCGTCAAATAAATTGGTAGAACATGTCGGAAATCAGCTACTTACTTTTATGTCAATATTGCTCATATTGCGCATATATGACACAAAACCCCGTAAACAGCGTTCAACAAATTATCAAAACGTTTAAAGTCGAGCGATGAAAAAAATTATTAAAAATAGTTATTTCATACAACTTATCAAAATATTTATTAATAATAATTTTTATTATAAAAAATTGTTTATAAAATCACAAAAATTATTTTGCTGTGAGGCATCTGCTTCCATATTGTGTGATCTAAAGTAAATTAATTACTATAGGTTAAATTAGGTTATACTGGCGATCGCTGGTGGATCCAATTAGGCCTATTGGCACATTGTATTACCGTATATGTAAGAAAAACTCAGGGTTTAAAATCACCTAGAACATTTGCTGAAGCCTAAAATGCTATTTAGTGTCAAGTCTTGTAATTGATCAAGATGCTCAAGAAATGGGGCTCCTAGTAGATGACAGACACTGTCATCAACCGGTTTGATTAAAAGGGAGACCTAATCTTCTAGCATGGTTCCCTAGTTTACAGTGACCTACCTGTAAGTAAACTTACCAAAAGACCGATATCTCTACGGGGTAACTCAATGGGAATTTTGGATTTCCTTTTATCGAAACGTGGCCAGATTGCATACAGATGCCTACATATTGTTGAGTCTTCCCATCTTTTATTAAAAATTTCAGCACAGAAAGAACTCATTAACAGTTTGCATGATGTTAGCGATATGCCCAGATTACTTAGGTGTTCCGAGTGAGGACTTGAAGCACCCTTTCTGGCTAGCTCGTCTGCTCTGCAATTGCCGAAAATATCTCTATGACCAGGAACCAAAATTAGAGAAATATTGAGCTGCGTCGACATTTCCTTTAGAGATGTGTAGTAGTCAAAAACCTTTTTAGATGTTAATTGGACTGAACTCATGAACTTTAAAGCAACATGACTATCTGGTAGCATGCATATATTCCTTCCAAATATATCATCCACATTCAAACAAGCTATAGCTTCCTTAATGGCGATCACTTTCGCCTTAAAGACACTACAATGATCCGGAAGCCTAAAGAAGGAAGATTTATTCAATTCCTCTGAGAAAACTCCACTGCCTACATCACTACTTGTTTTGGATCTGTCAGTGAAAATAAATTAATAACTATAAATTATAATAATATTTATAATATTTAATATTAATATTTATAATAATCAAATATTAAACATTTCATTTTTTGTTTATTACAATTTTATATGTTGTTATAGAATAAATGAATGCTCACATAACGTTTTTATATATTTTATTTCTAATTGTTTTTTGTGGCGTGATCTTTTCCATGAAATTCTATGAAATTGTAGTGAAGTTATTGTTTTCGAACTTTTTGTTTATATGTCACAGAGTAATTTTTAGATTCTTTTGAGTTGATTAAGATTTAAGCTTTTGTCAATTGTTTGTTAGTAAATACTTGAGAATCTTTTAATGTGTCTATGTGGAAATAGACGTCATATTTGTGTATATATCTCTACATGCAACATTCTGTACTTGGTTGTTTTATGACTATTGCCTTGGTGATTTGCTTATTGTTTTAATACTGTCGTTAGTTAAAAGTTTATATAAAGTAATGTAGATTGTTTTCGTTGTGTAATATATTTAAAGTAGTTTTTCTTTATGTCATGATAATTGTTAAACAATTTTGTTAAAATTTGATATTTCTCAACATTTTACAGCTATTGTGCAGTACTAGTAAAGTATTAAAATGCAGTCCATAAAAACTAGAGAATTACCAAAAAACCCACGTGAGGGCGCAAATGTGATATCATGTCTTTCATTCTGGTGAGTATTAAATTAGAAATAACTGGTTATAACAAAAAAAAACTTCTTAAAAAGTAGGTTAACTGAAAAATAAAAAACAGCTATTACCAAATAATTAGTGTAATTAAGCTCTTTGCTCATTCAGATAAAGAAAATAATTTTGAATTGCATTAAAAGTATTAAAATGAAATTATTAAATATTTTATCACTTATGTTAAAGAATAACACTAAAAATCATATTATTATAATTGATGAATATTATATTATATTAATTATTATATTTGTATTATTATATTATATTTATAAATAAGAAGCTCCTTTATAAATAATGTTTTAATTATTTGGTAAAAATGATACATATGTATAACATATAATTAATAGTAGGTAATTATTGCAATTAATTTAAGTTTTTTGTCGAATGTGACGAAAAGAAATTACAAGGATTCGAACCGTAATGAGAAAGCAACAACAAAAATTTGATTAATTATTGTAATAAATAAATAAAATATAAAATTTATTAATTAAAAATTTTCAGTAATCTGGTTAAATAATTTTTTACGCCAGTTTTATTAAATAATTTTTTTTTAAATAATTAATTTTTATTTTGATTTATATATTAATAAATTTCATTATAACCGGACTTAAGGTTGGATATTTAACACTTAAATTATTAATAAGTAATACTTACTAATTTTTTTGTTAAAATTTTAATATATGCATTTTTAAAAAATATTTGTATAAAAATATTTTTATTTTTTATATTTGGATAAAAAATATTTTTTAAAAATTTATAAAGATTTTAATAAAAATTAATGTTACTTATTAACAATTTAAGTATTAAATAACCGACTGTATGCCCAGTTAAAATAAAATTATTAAATTTTTTTTTTATATTGTGTCAAAAAGACCTTACAGTGATATAGTAAATAGTTTGTATTAAAACTTTTAATAATTAATTTTCGGCATCTTCCAGCCTATTTATACAAATGATAAAATTTAAAACTATTAATTTTTTCTTATATTAACTAACCTATATAAGAAAAACATTTTTTTATATAAAAAAATTTTTTTTTGCATCTCTTAGATATATACCTAATATTATATTATTTTGTTAATAAAAATAAATTTAGTATACATAATATTAAAATATATAGTTATCCAGATCGATATACTTTAAATATGTACTTATATGGTATATAAGTAAACGATAATTGTATTCGTAATTTATTTTTAGGTATACAATGCCAACCTTTTTTAAAGGACGCAAAAAGACTTTGGATGAAAAAGATCTCTACCAGACTTTAAGTACACATAAATCAGGTAAGAAAGTTGTTTATTAAATTATATTATAGATTACATATATGTTTGATGGAAAGTGTAATTGTATTTCAAACCAATTTTTTAATAATTCTTTTATAATTGTAGAATTATTTAAACCAAATATAAAAATTTTGTGAAACAGCAAGTATTGTGTATGAATTATAAATCATAAATTTTTTTTTATGGTTTAACCTTAGAATTTGTAAAACAAATTCTGGTTTATACGAATGTTACAGTATTTTTCATACTTAACATGAGACTCTTTGTCAAAGACAGTTGCAAAAAATGTAGGAAAAAGGGAGATAAATATTCTCAACATTATTTACTAGAGTCATTATATCACAAATCGAAAATATTCTTATGAATCAATTAGTAATAAAAACTAACTTTTCTGTTGATAAATCTTGCAAATTAAATATTAGTGAATTAATTAGTAAATTAATTTTTAGTTAATAATTAATTATTAATAATAATTTAGGTTATAATGTATTATGTAATAATTAATTAATTAATTAATTGATTAGTTGATTTATGTCCATTTCAATGTACATAAGACAATATTTTTCATTCAAATTGGATATGTTTATTTACATAAGTTTTGCATTTGCATTGTTGCCTTTTGTTGCACTCAAATCAACTTACATGTGTATATTCTAAAGTACAAAAAAAATAAAGTAATTAATAAACTATAATGAATCACGTATTCGATAAGAAAGGAAAAAGTGCCGTTTTATTTAAATAAACTTTTTCAATTTTTAAAAATTTAGAGCAAATACCTAACTCGTATTATGCTTTGATCTGAATAAAAATAAAAAACGAAACCTTTTTAAATGACTTTAATTTTTAAATGACTAAATTAATTATATTACTTACATAATAATGAAATTGAATCTTTTTATTACTGTTTAATTTATCTAAAATCTGTGATGAAAAACTAATTTTAAATTGCCTTACTTATTCCAAATGGCTGAATTTATTTTACAATTGAATTGCTCTTCAATCATTTCCAATTAAACAAATAAATTGACTATAAACAATTTCGTAATGTCTGTTCTCTATTGTTCTTAACATATAAATGCATGTACCCATGGATGTATATATACAATCAAATTTTTTTTGAATGTCATATGCATTTTTGCACTCAAACATTTATTTCTTAGTAAATTTTTTATATAAATTAAACAATAAAATATTATATTTCATGTTATAACTAAATATGTCTATATTTTGTTTTTCATTACTAAACTATAAATATTTAAATATTATATAGAAATTATAAATATTTATTAAATATAAAATTAATTAATTTCAATTTAATTTAAAATAATGATGAGTCTATAATGTTTTATATTAAATTTTATTTTTTAGAAATAATAAAAAAAATTTGATTTTACTTATTTTAGTTTCCCTGAAGATGATTAATTAAAGTATATAAATTGTTAGGTAGGGTTAGCTTGGAGTGACAATGTTGTGATGTACAACATTAAGCCCACTTGAGCATACATAATGGCTAATGGATAAGACACTGTCCGTACGCCAAACCGTAAGGACCACCTTAAAGGTAAAAATTTGAAGCACATAGAGGTGAGGAGTGTCCCTTTGAAAACAAAGCGAAGAACTTTTTTTTAAAAAAAACTAGTAATGTGAATTACTACGGCCAAAAGAGTCCTATTGTATCAAATTTACTTTTAATTACATAAAGCCCCTTAAAGCTTTATGAACAAAGTTCAGAACTAAATCTGGAGAACAGCTCTTGATCTGTACTGATGACAGAAATTCCACATGAAACAAGTTTCTTGTGTGCGTTGTTAAAGCTGAATAATCAAAAAGAATATGCATAGTTGTTTCCTCATCTTTGACGCATAATCTGCATTCCGAATTATACAGATAATTGAAATTTATGTAGGTAAAATTTTAGGCTATATTGACCCATAATGAAACCCGTTAGCAGCTTTAAATCACCTTTTGAGAATGTTACTGTAGGAGTATGGTTTGATCAGTGCTTTGCTTTGTTTGAATCCAGGAAAATCTTTCTAGTACACCAGACGCAAACGGTTCTTCCTCTCCTTCATTACTTGTTTTATATGAGGGCTGCTATATATATTTCTGGTCTAGGCAACACTAAGTCTTACCAGGTACAATCTGACATTTCCATTAGCAAAGTTGACATTTTTTAACATAACATCACTCAGAACGTGTTGTCATTTAATTGTAAATTGTTTTATTTACAGAGACTTGAAAAATTAATCTCGACCAAAAAATGGAATTAACACGTGAACATTTTCCAGCGATCATTTTTCACAACTTTCGACGTGGATTATCACGACAACAGTGCATTGTTGAACTTAAATCTTTGTATGGCGATGAAGCACCATCCTATAGCACTGTGAAAAACTGGTTTAATGAATTCAATCGTGGTCAACGCTCGCTCAAACGACGAATTCCGTGAAGGTCGTCCAAAAACGGTCGTTGTGCTAGAGAACATTGATACCGTGCGTGAATTGATAATGCAAGATCGCCATGTGACATACCGTGAGATAGAGGCATCCTTGGGCATTTCTCCCACCAGCATACATTCGATATTGCATGAACACCTGGCCGTAAAAAAGGTTTGTTTTCGTTGGATCCTGCACAATTTGACAATCGCTCAAAAAAAGGTTCGTATCGATTGGTGCAAAGAAATGTTGAAAAAATACGTTCGCGGTGCTTCAAAAGACGTTTATAAATTCGTCACAGGTGACAAAACAACAATCCACCTTGTGGGTCTTCAAAGACGAGCAAAATCCAATTAAAGTTATTCGTGGAAGAAGCACTTCGAAGCAAATGGTCGCCTGTTTCTTCGGCAAAACTGCTCATGTGGCGACTGTTCCGCTTGAGCAACGAAGGACGGTCACTTCTGAGTGGTATACCACAATTCGTTTGCCTGAAGTCTTCGGAGAAATTCTAAAAAAGGGAAAAAGGGAAGACGAATCATTGTTCACTATAATAACGCGAGCTTTCACACATCGGTTCAAACCAGCGCCTTTTTGACCGGCCAAAACGTCGAATTGATGGGTCATCCGCCGTACATTCCTGTCTTGGCACCCAATAACTTCTTTTTATTCCTGCACATCAAGAAAAAAATGCGTGGTGAACGATTTTCGTCGCCAGAAGATGCTGTTGAAGCGTTCAAAAACCATGTTTTGGAGGTGTCTCAATCGGAGTGGAAAAAGTGCTTCGACAATTAGTTTGAGCGCATGCAAAAGTGTATAAATCAGGCTGGAGTATACTTTGAAAAAATATGAAATAATTTGTGATGATAAATATTCGTATTTTCGTTATTAGGCCAGAAATATATATAGCAGCCCTCGTACTACCCAACTCAACTCTACTAAGACTTAATATTTTATTTCATTTAAATAATTTTCGTTTTATTCCAAATGATTTTATATGTCGATTTACTCAATATTAGTTCAATAGTTCTAGAACGATCAAACTTTTGTTGCATAACCATTGGACAATAACGATTTTATTAATAATACTATCATAGACGATTTAAATGTTGTCAACATTGACTTAAAAAGTTGGAAAAACAGATTTTTCTCAATCAAGCTCACTTCATTAAAACATTAAATCTTAATTTCTTTCGAAAGTACAATTTTTGTGGTAAGTTCTCTAAGTACATATGCATTTGTTTATTTTATATGGGTGAGTTTCAGACATTGGCTTTCTTTATTTATAGTATACGTATAAAAGACGATATATTGTTAATCAAATGACGACTGAATGATCAAATTTTAAAATATTGCAGATTTATTTTGTGTGGCATTGGATATATATATGGTATATATATAATTTGTCTGTGATATTCATATTGCATTCAGTTAATGCAATATCTGCTTATTTCTAACCGATTATATTATTTTCCTAAACAATCGTATTTAAGGGGTACTCAGACGTTACTCACTAACTAAATTATAAAATATGTCAAGAAAATAGATTTAAATATTAAAAACTTAAAAATATCTTTAATTCCAAGGTTAAAAGTCATTAAAACCGCAGTTCAAACTTTATATAGAATATTTTTGTAATATTTAACATTTTCTCAGTTTAAATATGGTATATAATTTTTTTATTGAATTTTTTACGTTTACATTTGGTAATTCGATATTCGGTAAAGTAATAAAATCACAAATGTCTGAACGTATATTTTAAAGACGAAGTTTATTAATTAATAAAGGATTATTAAATTATATACCATTGTTAACTTTATCATAGTTTTTATTAAGTTCTGGGAATATAACTGCTCCTCTTATTATAAATTTAACTATGTAAATTGTAGTTTGTTTGTTTGTTTTTATTATCTTTCTTTCTTGTTAATATTGTAAAATGTATTGTATTGTTAATATTATAAAAATATATGTAAAATTGTTTATTTCGTTGTATAAAAAAGCAAAAAATAACCAGAAAAACTTGAAAAAACAAATTTAAAATTCAAATATAACTTCGTCTTTTATTTCTTTTTTATTTCGAATTGTTCTACTCTATTTATTATATCTTCAAACATTTCAAATTTCTAATTAAATTAAGTTTTGTGTAACACTTTACAATAATAAGAATAAGCGATCCGCGCTCTACTATCTTTTTTATAAGCTCATGTTAATATATCTCTTTCTTATGTTATTTCTACTACTTGAGCTACAATGTCCTTGATGTTTTTCAACATACGTACTAAATACCATTAGTGCTAGTATATGTTATATAGCCGAATTGTCCAATTTTCTCAATAAGTAGTATTATTAAAATATTGTAATAATGTTTGTCGATCTAATACAAAGCATAGTATGTTATAGAAATATATGTTTCGATCGCCAGTGAGTTTTCTGAATTGCTATAATGACCACTGGTCTTCAACATATAATTTTCGGTATGTTTTATGTTCTAGAACTTTGCAGATTCTATTGTATTTCTAATTTTGCTAATTTCGTATATATGCTTAGATTTTTTTCAAAACGTATGTCCAATCTACTAATACTTTATTTCTTTTTTTTTTTTTTTGTTTAGGAAGCTGGACCTAGTAGTTCAATTTCTCCTTTTTAGTTAACTTTAAAATTAATTTTAGTATTAAGGCCGTGTGCGAGTTCGAGTAAATTGATGCTAAATTGAGGCAAATAGTAAATTATGTCGGTATGGCAGTGAATGTTGGTATTTACCAGAATTTTGAATAGGGTAAATTAGATAAAAATTAGGTAAATTACGTGTTACCATTTTAAAAATGTTATAAGATGTTTAATAAATAAATAAAATAAATAATAAATAAATGCAATAAATAAATAAATAAATATATACATAATTGCAGTGCAGAAAATCCCTAGGAAATTTCAATTTATTTTACTTCAATTTATTCGAACTCGCACACGGCGTAATTCACAAATAAATAAATATTCCTATTTTAATAGGCTTAATGCTTATTAATGCTACAATATTTTTGTTTTTTTATTTCTTTTTTCTGCATAATTATTTTTTAAAAGAGGTTTTTTCTAACAGTAGAGAACTACAATAACAAAAATTCATTTTATATTATTTTAATTAATTGAATTTTTGGTTGACCATACAGCTGTTTCGAGTATTGCCAAATACCCATCATCAGTGGTCTTGGAAATATTTCTTATATTTAATTATTCGTAAATAATTATTTTTGAGACTGCAAGTACCAGAATCAAACTCGTGTCCTGCCAAATTTGAAACTCAGAGTCAGCGCACCTTAACCAATTGATCCAAAGCCGTACTTGACTTTTATGTTCGCACATTTTTCTGGAGTTTTGTCACATTTCTGTGAAAGTTTTATTAACAAATTCACTTGCTGCGTTTATATTCGAACGAAATCATAAACCAGCTGTAGAATAATTGAATGAATGACTTATATTTTTATTTTTTAATTGTTAAATTTCAATACTATTCTGTTTGTAGTGGGATTTGTATTTTTTTTTTTTATGTATAGAACCTAATCTAGGAACGTAATACTGAGCAAGTCGTGCTAATACTCCACGATTCGCACGGGCGCAATACACTGCAGGCAATTATACACAAAGCCCTCGTGGTTGCCCGGTAATAGAAGGTTTCTATGTTTCCTAGCCATACATAATAGCTGTTTTATGTTGTTTTCAAATAATCCAATTCCATAGTAGTCTAAATATTACATTTTAATAATTTAAGGTTTTGTGTTTAGCTAAAAGTTGATGAGAAATATGTTATGTGTGTCTGTTTACAGTATTGTTCAAAAACATATTGACATTTTATCTTTATTATTTAATCTTAGTAACAGATGTTTGTTACGAAGCGGTTTTGTATGGTGTTCGAATGTGTAATTTGATATATTTCGTTTATAGAATACTTTTTAATAGTAATCTGTAATAAACGATATTAAAACAAAGCATTTCCAGAAAAATCAAAAAACAAAAACTTCAGCTGCTTTACAATGTAATTTTGCCTTTTATTTTTTGCTAAGCTTAATATTATTAGATTGCAGTGCAAAATAAATAACACACTCTCAAAACATTAGCAAAATTTTTTACACACTCGAATTTATTTATTTATTTACTTTTTTTTTGTTGTTTTTCCTTACTGTCATTTGTATCTGTTTATATTCGTATCTATACGAGAATATATGGTTGTGCAAGCACAAGTGGCCACGAGTATTTATAGTGGCACATTTGCTAGCTATTTTTTTTTATCAATTTGCATTATTAAGTTAACTAGAAATAAAACATAGAGAAGCGCCGCCAGTAGACAAATGTGCGTATTCTGTGGCTTATGTTACTAATTGATTTCATCAAAACAATCGCCCCTCCATAAATAAAATATGGCTGTATTCACTCATGTAACATGTCATTCCAACATGAAAGATATACCAGCAAATGTGTTTAATTGACACCTTTATATAGTATATATACCCTTACTTATATACGCTGGCAAAATATAATATTTCAAATTAATCTGTATTAAGATAATACAGATTAAAATATAAAATTATAGAGTTTAAAGATTGAGAAATCAAGTCATTGAACTTTTTAATATTTGTTGTTTTTAAAATAATTAATTCATGAGTTATCAGAATTAAATAATGGGAAATGTACTACAAAAATAAGATAATTCGTGCAATATTCTTAAAAAATACGAGTTACAAAATTCGTTAATAAATTAAAATAAATAATGTAAAAAAATAAAACAATTATATTATAAAAATAATAATCCCTTTACAAAATCTGAATCATACTGGAAATATTAAAAATAGCACATTTGTTTCTCAATTATATCAAATTCTTATCTTGATATTGTTTTAATTAAATAAATATTTTTTATTAATTCATATGCTTTAAATTATGTTTTATGTAGGACTTAAACACATTAAGACTATCTTTACCATTAGCAGCTATGTTGAAGGCAGCTTGGTTGTTGTACTCCTACTTCTGGGTGTACCACACCAAAATTCTTAGACTCGATCCGAAGTACAAATCAAAATTTTTCACAATTGTAATCGTTCTTACATTTCACTGGGCTATGAACTCGTTTGCATCAATGTAAGATCTGCATCATTGACACTCTTATAGAGTCTAAAAGTATAAAGCTATTACACATATCATGAACTCGTTAACTGTTGCAAGGGGTACATTAATACCTGAGAAGTGAATGTCAGGAAGCAGAGTGCTTGCCTTAGCAAGCTGGTCTGCCCGAAATCTCTCTGGGGCCAGGAACTCATGTGAGTTGGACACTGACACGCCTATGTAGTTCGTTAAGTGTTGACTGATATTCTCAAATTACTAGAAATGTGGCTGTATTGCCTACCAGGGAATTAATGGTAGCTTGACTGCCCCAAAAAATTGCGAAAATTGCATAAGGGATCTGGTTACCTGGTGCCCATTTTACAGCATAGTGGATTGACATTATTTTTGTCTAAAAGACACTGCAATGGTTAAGCAGTCAAAGTAAAAAGCTAAGACACAGTTTTTTAGAAAATATACCAAAGCCGACTCGTTTATGAATTTGGAGCCGTCTGTGTAAATGTCTACCATGTTAAGAGAAACTACCATGTCGAAAGTCTAGTCTTTCCTATTAGATATAAGAAAGAAATGTATATGTGCTCAGTGAACTGACTGACTGATTCACTGTGTCAGCAAGTTGAACTTAGATTAAGAAAAAGTTGTTTTTTGAATTTTCAAAATCGTTGCTTATTTTGTGGTTGGCAAGAAAGCAAACAACATTCATTCTTAAGAAAATTCCCATTACAGAAAAATACAAAATTCTTTTTTTTTTAAATATTTAAATGTAATAATCAAATATTTTCGGTTTGAATTGACTTTTTCTTTAAAATCTACTACCAATACATTAAGAGATGCAAACACATTATTGACAATCATTTTATCCACAACGGTGACAAGTTCTTCAACTAAATAAAAAGTTTTTAAAAAGCACCTTATAAACTTTACTCAATACATATTTCCAATACAATAAGGCATGCGAAAGCAGTATTTACACATTATCTTCAACAAAGTGAGCAATAATTAGTTAATTGCTAATAAGTATTCAGGAAATGTTACTCACCTTCGTCTTTTGAAAGAACCCAACATTTAGATCACACATTTTAATAGATTTAATGCTTCCAAGTAAATATTCGCGAATATCTTAATCGTAGTCGTATGCTTATGAATGGCGCATATTATCAATATTGATATAGTTTTTAAATGATTATTAATATATGTTACTGTATATATATTATCCAATAATATAGGGTGCGGTTATGCACCAGATTTTTTTACCCATAAGAGTAGATATGTAGCTATGTGTATACTATGTGTATGTGTATACAGTACATAAAAAAAGTATACTTAATTTGAGGTCATAGAACGATTGTAGATCTATCATAGGTAAGTTGATGGTCCGCAGTTGATTAGCAACACACACACATACAAGACAGAAATGATAACTAGTGACATATGCAGAAACTGCAGTGAGTTGGAAAAAAAAAAGACTTTGGAATACGTCTTATATTTGTAGTCAGTTTTTACATGAACTAGTCTTGGGCCTTTACTATTTGGAAAATTTTAGGACGCCACGGGAATGGACATTATATACAAATGTCTATTAAAATATACCAATCATCCTAGATATTAAAAATACAACATTTGTATGTGTTGTTAGGAATTGTGTCAAAACTTTATACATATTTTCTAATGGAATTAATTGTATTCTATAATGCTTATTATAATTAGTCCTTTTATGTACCAAGGTGTGGTATGATCACACTAAATTTATGCATATAACGGCATCAGTAATTTATTATGATTATTAATTACATTTAAATATTTATTTGTTATCAGATTATTTTAAAGTTAACGTCCGGTCATGAGTATAATTAATCATTTTGCATGAGCTGCATACGAAATTTTGACTGACCTCTATAAGATATAAATTATTAAGAGAATAAAAATCATAAAATTTGTTTTCAACTTTTTGAGTCCACTGAATAATTTATAAAGATTTTTATTTTATCTATTTAAGAAAAACTAGGCAATAAGATGTGTATATCTTGGGAAAAAGAGTTGGAGCGTAAAACAAATACAAAAAAGGGTCCCAGTTTATTAAAAGCAACAATGAGGGTATTTGGCTGTGAGTTTGCGTTGCTGGGCATCGCACTATTTCTTTTAGAAATGGGTGTAAGGTAGGCTAATGCTTGGTTTTAAAAATGATCACAAATGGCTAATATATATCTTTACTCTTATATATATATTTACAGATCACTACAACCACTTTGTCTGTTGGGCTTAATTGCATATTATGCTAATGATGAAAACGATATGCAAAAGGCGTATCTCTATGCAGCAGGTGTGTTAATATGCAGCGCTCTGAATGTAATTATCATACATCCATTCATGTTGGGTACCTTACACTTGGGTATGAAAATAAGAGTTGGAATGTGTAGTATGATTTATAGAAAAGCTTTGCGCCTAAGCAAGAACGCATTGGGCGATACTACTGCTGGTCAAGTAGTTAATTTAATATCAAACGATGTTGGACGTTTTGATTTAGCAATGATATTTGTGCATCACCTGTGGATTGGACCACTGGAAACTATATTTATTACATATTTGATGTATAATGAAGTAAGTAATTTATAGAATTCTTATACTTATGACGAGTAAAATTAATTGATTGCAGATTGGTGTCTCTGCTGTTTTTGGTGTTGCTTTTATGCTTCTGTTTTTACCAATGCAAGGTTGGTTAGGTAAAAAAACATCAGTATTACGATTGCGTACAGCACTTCGCACCGATGAACGTGTACGCATGATGAATGAGATTATATCGGGTATACAAGTTATAAAAATGTACGCTTGGGAAATACCATTTGGAAAAATGATAGCTGACGCACGTAAAAAGGAAATTAATTGCATAAGAAAAGTGTCCTATATTCGTGGTATACTACTCTCATTCATTATGTTCTTAACCCGTGTATCAATATTTTTAAGTTTGGTGGGTTATGTATTGTTGGCAAATATATTGACTCCGGAAAAAGCTTTTGTGATAACGGCTTATTACAATATATTGCGTACTACAATGACTGTCTTTTTTCCTCAAGGTAAATGCTAAGATTAATTTAACTAATAAAACAAAATAAAAAAATTTTATTTTTTTAGGTATTTCTCAACTTGCTGAGACTTTAGTTTCGATAAAAAGAATAAAAAATTATATGCTCTATGATGAAACTGATATACGTGCCAAAAATATTGAAGAAGATACTACCAGTTTTAATGGCAGCAATGAATCGACGGTTAAAGACGATGAGAAATACCTAGAAAATACAAATGAGAAACCTCCTTTAAATGGAAATAGTCATGCAACTCTTTCCGAAGCTGGCATAATAATACACAAATTGAGATCCAAGTGGGATAAAAATTCTACAGAGTATACTTTAGATAATGTTGATTTGCGGGTACAACCAGGGACTTTAGTTGCAATTATTGGACCAGTAGGTGCTGGCAAATCAAGGTAGGTGTTATAGAATGCAGTATTAAATCTGTAGCTTGATATATATATATTTATATTTATTTATAAATACATCTGCCTTAAAGGAAATGGCAATAAGTAATTGGAATAATTTTAGTATAAATATATATATATATATATGAGATATTAAATATAATGTTAAAGTACTATAAGTTTAACATGAGTACATAGTATGTATTAATAAATCTGATCATATATGTACAAGGGCGGTTTGATAAGTCAGTGACTTTTTGAATAAAACAAATTTTATTCGACAAATAAACATTTTATTTTTCTACATAATCACCTTTCACCGTTTTTCTAATTTTCTTATTCCCTCTAAATAATAGGTTTTCTCAAAGCTCTTAAAATACGCGTTTGTTTCGGTAATGATTTCTTCATTCGACTCAAAAATCTTACCGCCCAGCCATTTCTTTATCTGTTTCCAAAGAAAATAGTCGCAGGGGCTAAATCTGGAGAATATGCTGGATGGGGTAGCAGTTCGTATCCCAATTCGTGGATTTTGGCCACGAATGCTTAATCAGCACACGAATTTCACTTTTTTCCATTTTCATAAAAATTCACGAGGTTGTCTGCTTTAAACGGCTATCAAACATCAACTGAACGACATAGCTTGCTCAAAATTAGAAAGTTGCCCACTGGTAGATTGCAGCTGACTGTTGCACTGACTTATCGAACCGCCCTCGTATTATATCTTGCACTATCTTTACTGTAAAATTTTAACGACCTTTAAGCGCATTGCATTTCATTTCTATTTATGTATTTAAGACTATTAATTTTAAGGATAGCAAGATATGAATATTATATCATTAGAACGTTAGACTCTGTAATTAAGTTATATCTGTCCTTAATGCTTCTTTATAAAAAAATTTCAATTTTGCATGCAATTACATTCTTAAAAAGGTCCATGGAATCATTATATTATTTGCATCGTAATACGAGTCAAATATTTATATTTATTAAGTGATATAATTTGCAATTTATTCTACAATAATCGTAAATTCATTTTAATATAAATTGTAATTTAACGTTAGTAATGACAGAAGTGACTATTATATTTAATAGAAACTAGCAATTTAGTAGAGAGGTTTCGACAAATAGTAGACTACAACAACAAAAAAAAAATCTTTTTATATTATTTTAATTAATTGAATTTTTGACTGACCATACAGTTGTTTCGAGTATTACCAAATACCTACCATCAGAGGTACTCTCCACTATATTTATATTTTTTTATTAGAAACTGAACTCTCAATTATTTAATATTATTAATATAATTTTAATTATTCTACTATTTTAGTTTGATTCAAAGTATACTTGGAGAATTACGTCCAGAGTCTGGCAGCATAAAAGTAAACGGTACTTTTTCTTATGCATCCCAAGAGCCCTGGCTGTTTACTGGTACCGTTCGTCAAAATATACTTTTTGGACAACCAATGAACAGGAGACGTTATAAGACAGTTGTTAAAAAATGTGCACTCGAACGTGACTTCGAACTGTTGCCTAATGGTGACAAAACAATTGTAGGAGAACGTGGTACTTCATTATCAGGTGGTCAAAAGGCACGCATTAGTTTAGCAAGAGCAGTATATCGAGAAACTTCCATTTATCTACTTGACGACCCCTTAAGTGCTGTTGATACACATGTTGGTCGTCATTTATTTGATCAATGCATGCGAGATTATTTACGTGAAAACATTGTAATATTAGTAACACATCAATTACAATTTCTACAACATGCGGATCAAATAGTGATTATGGATAAAGGTAAAGTGAGCGCTGTCGGCACTTATGACTCGTTACGGGAAAGCGGTTTAGATTTTGCACAGTTATTAGCTGATAATGATAAAGATGAAGTAATGGATGAGAAATTGCGTTCCAGACCTTCGTCATCGCGGCTGTATGACAGAAAAAATAGTGAAACTTCTTTAATATCGGCCGCCGAGTCAGTATTGGAGGATGCAACATTACAACAACAAGAAACACAGGAGGAAGGCAAAATTGGTTTTGAGTTGTATAAAAAATATTTTAAAGCTGGCGGCGGATTTTTTATGTTCTTTGTAATGACTGTATTTTGCGTCATATCACAGGGATTGGCATCTGTTGGTGATTATTTCTTATCTTACTGGTAAATAATATTGTTTATTTGTTATGATCATATTTAAATTTTTCTATTTTTTTGTATTAAAGGGTAAATAAAAAAGGTGCCATGGAAGCTAGTGCGCAGTTGGAAACAAACTTAGAAAGTAATGATACACTATCGGTTGATGAACGCGACAACTCAACTTTACTATTACTTATCAACGATTTCGGTGTAAACATTGATGCTGAAACTCTTGATATATACCTGTTCACTATTATAACAATTGCCACCATAGTTATTACAGTCGCACGCAGTTTCCTGTTTTTCAATGTTGCTATGAAGGCATCGATTAACTTGCATAATTCTATGTTCCGTGGTATAACTCGTGCTACAATGTACTTTTTTAATACAAATCCTTCTGGTCGTATACTTAATCGTTTTTCTAAGGATATGGGACAAGTGGATGAAATTTTACCTTCCGTGATGATTGATGTTATACAGATCTTTTTATCACTTTTTGGCATTGTTATAGTTATAGCTGTAGTTAACCCGTTATTTTTACTGCCAACACTGATATTAGCTATAATTTTTTATAACTTGCGCACATTCTATCTTAAAACTTCACGGAATGTAAAACGCTTAGAAGCGATAAGTAAATATTTGATTTAAAAATATAGAATTAAATATTGTATGAAATTTTATTTCTAGCTCGTTCGCCTGTTTATTCACATTTGGCGGCTTCTTTAACTGGCTTGTCAACAATACGAGCATTCGATGCTCAACGTGTGCTCATATCAGAATTTGACAACCATCAAGACTTGCATAGTTCAGCTTTTTTTTTGTTTATATCAACTTCACGTGCTTTCGGTTATTGGCTAGATTGCTTTTGTGTACTTTACATCGCTATTATTACGTTAAGCTTTTTTATATTTGCACCAACTAATGGCGGAGATGTTGGTTTGGCTATAACACAAGCTATGGGTATGACTGGCATGGTGCAATGGGGTATGAGACAGTCCGCAGAATTGGAAAACACCATGACAGCTGTGGAACGTGTAGTAGAATATGATGACATTGAACCGGAGGGAGAACTGGAATCAAAACCTGAGAAGAAACCACCACCTTCATGGCCTGAAAATGGTGAAGTTATTTTTGACGAATTAAGCTTGCGTTATTTTCCAGATCCAAAATCTGAATATGTACTTAAATCACTCAACTTCGTTATCAAACCATGCGAAAAAGTTGGCATAGTTGGTCGCACAGGTGCTGGAAAATCTTCGTTGATAAATGCGCTCTTCCGTTTATCTTTTAATGATGGTTCTGTTATTATTGATAGTCGAGATACAAATGAACTGGGCTTACATGATTTGCGCAGTAAAATCTCAATTATACCACAAGAACCCGTTTTGTTTTCTGGCACTATGCGTTATAATTTAGATCCATTCGATGAATATTCAGATGCCAAACTATGGGAATCGCTAGAAGAGGTTTTTGTATGAAAACATTAGTTTCTAAAATAAAATTAATATCTTTTATTCTAGGTCAAATTAAAGTCTTTAATTGCTGAACTTCCCAGTGGTTTACAGAGTAAAATTTCAGAAGGTGGTGGTAACTTTAGTGTTGGACAACGACAATTGGTGTGCTTAGCTCGTGCTATACTAAGAGAAAATAAAATATTAGTAATGGATGAGGCAACAGCTAATGTGGATCCACAAACTGATGCTCTCATACAAACAACTATAAGAAATAAATTTATGAATTGTACTGTTTTAACGATTGCTCATCGTTTGCATACTGTCATGGATTCTGACAAGGTTCTAGTAATGGATGCCGGGCGAGTAGTGGAGTTTGGTACACCATACGAATTATTGACTGAAAGTGAAACGCAAATTTTTTACGGCATGGTTAAACAAACTGGCAAAACCACATTCGATAATTTATTAAAAGTTGCGCAAAAAGTAAGTTTGATTTATATTAAACATTACTCTCAAAATGACCACATGATATTAAATAATTTTATTATTTATTTTTGATTTTTTTAGCAAAGTATTGTCTTACAGTATCTTTTGTATAAATAGACAAAACTCAATAGTAGCAGGATTAAATAATTATAACTTCAAAATTATTAACATAACAATAAGTATTAGTACTAAGTGGATTGATAATTATCTGACTTCACAACAGGTGAATAAAATCAATAATATCATGTATATCTGACAAGTATTAGACGACAGTTATAAAAGTTTTGGCTTCATTAGATGTTCGGTTAGCCTTTTTGCAAATAATTGAAATAGTTTACCTTGATGATTTCTTATAAAATGGAAAGAATTGAATATTAGTCAGTAATATAATTCCTCCATTTGAAAGGAATGACCAATGATGCAATCAAATTGGGAATGGATTCTGTTTACGGCAACCTTGCACCATCATTGACAACAATAAAATATTAGAAAGCTGAATTTAAACGTGATCCAAAAGAGGTGACAACTAAAAGAAACATTTAAAAAATCCATGATATTGTGTTAGATATTCCAAAAATTAAATTGTGTGAGATAGTAGAGATGAGAAACATATCATATGAACGTATATCGAATATTTTACATAAATATTTGAGTATGAAAGGCTCTCGGCAAGATGGTTGCCGCGTTGATCAAAAACGACAACGACTTCGTCATTCAAAATATTGTTTGGAAATGTTTATGCTAATCTAGCATAACCTAGCGAATAGAGTCCAGTAGTGACAATTGATGAAACATGGATTCATTACTTCACACCTAAGGGAAAACAACAAGCCAGAGAATAGGTAGAGCGCGGAAGTAGTGCTCCCAAACGGGTACGAACTCAACAATCGGCTGAAAAAGTTTTGCCTTCCGTATTTTTTGATTCAAGAAAGAAAAACAATAACATCAGACCACTATTGCATATTATTAAATCTATTTTTGGATTGAATGAGAAAATCAAGAAAAACGACTAAATTTTTGGAAGATAAAATTTTGTTTTTGCAGCATAACGTACCTACTCTCACATCACTGAAAACCATGACAAAATTAAATGACTTACGGTACGAATAGCTTATTACGAATTCTCCACATTTGGCTTTCAGTTGTAATAAGATTTGGTTTTATGTATTGTATTATAAGTTTTTCCTAGCGCAGCGAGGCGCCTTTCTTGTTCGCAACGAGGCGAATAAAACTAGGTTGCAACTAGGCAACTTGAATATAATGATAGGCGAGACTCAATGTTCTGTTTGAATCTGAATCTTTTATTAAATTTGTACAGTATATATACTTATTCTAACTTAAACACTAACCTACCTGAATATTATGTTCGCCTAGTAATTTTCATATAAAAATGCTTAATATGCATTTCAATTAATTTAAAAATATGAATTTATTATTATTATTTAATAATTACCCGAAATACTAAATAATGAAATTCCAATGCAAGTTAATGCACTTTACGAATTTCATTTGCGCAAAACAAAAGAATCAAATTACTTTTCTTTTGCGCTTCTTCACATGGTAAGTGTGTGACCAATGTCTTTGCTTTTGGCATGTGCCAGTAACGTATATCATCATATTACCATTAACAAATAATTATTTTGTTTGTAATATGTAGATATACTACACAGTGACTATTTCTTGTTTCCAAACTTGAAAAGATGGTTCCAGGGAAAGAGATGTGCATCAAATGATGAAGTGGAATGGAAATATACTGAGGTATATTTTGGAGGACTTGATAAATCGTATTATTTAAAAGAGTGTCCAAATGTAGAAAATCGTTCCCATATTGAAGCATAAAATATAATTTTCCAAAATAAAATGCTTTTTTTATTATTTAGACCGGGTATTTATCAATCCACTTAGTATAATAAAATCGATTATACTTAGTATAATCGATCGGTTTTACATAGGAAAACATTATTTTATTTATTGAGACTATAGCATTTACAACATTTATGCCCTTATATATAAATGTAGAGGTTTTCTACAGATATTTTTTTTTATTTTTTATAATGCTTTTATAATGCTTCCTACAATAATTCTTTGAGTTAAGCAATATTTTTCAACTATTTACAATACATTAATCTCTCTTCTCTTATGGTATCACATTGAACTGCAGGTTTATATATGTATGTTTATATATACGTATGTATCTTTTTGGGGCTGGTATTTTCAACAGTTTCAATTTAATCAAGTGTTTACACTACTTAAAAGAGTAAACCATTGTAATTTTGTTTATAATTTTGAGAAGGAGAATTTTCCTATATAATATTAAGAATTCTTCTGATGAAAGTAAAAGCGAATTTGCCGAAATACGTATAGAAATATACTAAAAATAACGCTCGAAATAAAAGTTGAAGCTCTTCCACTTTAAAAATATTGTTTTTTACTTGTTTACAATAAATAATAAACTACTCCTCAAACTTTTTTTTTTATTACAGGCGCATGAAAAATCCTTAAAAGAGGAATAGAATCTCACAAAATCCAAATTTGAAGTACAAATTCTTATTGAAGAATTTTAAACGAATTTTAAGTGCCCGCCAATTATGGTAATTAGTAATATTAGCATAATTGTCACTTATATTTACACAATTTAAGACTAAATATATAAATTGCTGTCAAGTTTTGTACTGTTAATTCTAAGAAAAACAATTTTATTTAAAATTTTATAATATACCCATTCATTTTAATTGTAATATAAATATATATATATATAAATTATATATATGAAGTTAAGAAAATTGCTTGAAACTAAATCTTATACAAATTTAATGTATAAATATGTAAAATGTGCATAGCGATTTAAATTTTCTTTGTAATTTGCATGTAAAATTTTTTTCAGTGTATTTATGTATTGTGTCATATATGCATTATATTTGTATGTGTAACATTAGTAAATTTAAAAGAAATTGTGCCTTTATAAATTTATATTAACTTGTAAGCATATTTGTTGTATTAAATAAAATATTGATATATAATGTTATAAATATTTCTAATAAAAATTAAATTTTTAAATGTGTATGTTTATTTTATAATTTTTGGGTGGTGGCAGCACCGTTGCTTGTATCAAAACAAATGTGCAAAGAAAGTGAAAGTACAACAACAACACGTGGTATTTTTGACGTTTTGTGGTTTTTGTTTTGATTACTGCCAAAATGAAAATATAGTATATATATATTTTTGCATATATATTTTTTTCAACGAAATTCTAATACAATTAGTGACAATGGCTTTATTCTAAATTAAATGAATTAATAAATTAAATATTTATTTACACAATATATTAATAAATTAATATATAAAACGCTGCGAAAACGTAGAAAAAAGTGGATTCGCTCGCTCGCTGGAATTTTTGTGTATATTTTTATTGTGCAATATATAATTTGTATTAATGGCACTATAAGAGAACAAATAAAAACTATAGTTATTATTATGTGAGTATAATTGCGTATTGCTCAGAATTAAGTGAAATTAATAACATCAAAAGTCAAATTCAAAAATTTTCTTTACTAGCAGTTGCTATATTTTTATTTATTGTGTATAATACGTTTGTGCCTTGCTGTATACTTACGGTGCAGCTTTGGGACTTATGAGAGCACAGCATTTTCTCAAGCGTTTTTGGAATTGTAAATCTTTTCCGTATTTTATAAACAATTGAAATGTAGATATAAAGCGATATATTCAATAATTCATTTTAATTTAAATAAGCTACAAATTCACATACTCCTGCGTATGTAATATGGATTAAATATTAATTTACTTAAAAATTGATTTCAGAGCTGATTCAGATTTCAGATACATTTATTATTCTTGCATTCCATGCAAAAATTTTGGATTTTGCCGGAAAAACGTTTATAAGATAATTATTGATATATAGTAATCCCCCTATAACGCGGTAGATTGGTTCCGCGTTATAGAAAAACGTGTTATAAGGGTATTCCCGTATACCCCGTATACACATGTGCAAAGGTACGCGAAGCAGGTACAAGTCCTTGCCTTATATTGAGGAATGTCCGTGTTATACGGGGGATTGAAATCGCGTAATATGAAAACGCGTTATAGGTGGGACTACTGTACTTATAATATGTAGAAAGATTCTATGTTTTTATTGTATATATTAATATAATATAATATAGTACAATATTTTACTACAGAACACTGAAATAATGTATTATAACTATTTCTTTATAGTGATATTTTTGTGAACTTATTTTGTTTGCACTGGGAACTGTTTCAATAGTCCTGGGCACTGACTGAGTAATTTATATTTTTAATATGTAGTTGAAGATCTATTTTTTTTTAAATTTCGTCAACGCTAATTGGCAAAATTGGTCAATATTGCTACAATATTCATAAATTAATTTTTTTTTCATTTGAAATACTTTTTAAAGTACATAATTCATATTCTATTAAAATATCGATACTACACTATCTATGTGATGTACATTTAGGAAATTCTTCTTAGAAAACCGGGATTTACTATAAATTTGACTTTAATGATAGATTCCAGCATTTAACTATTTTTTCAATTTTTTATTTTTTTAGGTTTCCTAAGACTATTATACGAGTTATCATCACTTTAACGTTTTTAAACTTTGTTTTTATTTGTTTATACACACTATTTCTGAAATTGTGATGACGTCAGCTTCATGAATTGATGTTACTTATAATGCCCCTACACCAAAACAATTTAGGAAAAACGTAATATTTAACATTCGAACTATACAATAAAAATCCTCAGTTATATTCAGAAAGGGCATGTGATTGTCATCTGCGCGGGGTATTACTTGAACTTATTGAAAATATTCCTTACTTTTTCATTTCATGTTTTAAATTTTTAAGTATAATCACATTGTTAATTTAATTGTAGTTTTAATTAAATTTATTATGAAGTATTTCCTGAGCTCATACCTTTAAACTCAGACTACTTCGAGGTAATTTTTGTACACAGCCATGTAATATCATTTATTCGAATTCAATTTTGGGTTGTACTCAAAAGTTTCTATAAATCTTTCTGCGAGTCGATAATCAACATTATATTGCCAGCATACCCAATTATTTTGATTTGAATATGGTGCCTGTTTATAACATATATATCTTTAATAGTATAGTCTATAAAATAAGTATCTGATCTACACATCCTTTACATTAATTTAAATGTACAGTACAATCTTTCTATTAAACAATCAAAAACAGTTGCGTGAATAAAATATATGTACATGATATACCTATATAAATGCAAAATATGAATAAGAAAGAGCTTTTATGCATATAGTTAATTCATTATATCTTTTTATATTGATATTTGGGTCAATATTTATAGTTTTGTGTGTATATGATGAAGTAGTAAAATAAATTGGAGACATCTCTCTTTGTATAAATTGATGAGCAAGAATAATTTTATACAAATATTTAACATTTAACAAGATCGTCGAATCGAGATCCATAGACCCATTTTTCATCAAAAAATTTCATTTTGGTCACACTTTTCGAGAGGGGCCAACGTTCTTTGGCTACGTCCGTGAAATTTTGAATGCAATTTTAAGCTGACCATGTATCTTTTCTTTTCTACATATAATTTTTTTTTAATATAGCGTAAGGGAACTCATAAAAAATTTAATTTAAATTACAAAATTAAGTTAATTAATTTTAATTATTTTTGAAATTTTATTGGTGTAATATTTTTTACTTGTGCTTATGTCAGTTCACTTTCAAATATTTCATAGCCAAGACATTTGTTTCCTTCCTATATCGAGCCTTCCTTCAATTTTGTTTTATTAATTATTAATAGCATAACTCAAAGTCTTCTACTTTTTTCGGCTTAATGTATTATCAATAATCTTTAATTTGAAACTATTAACACTCAATTGTTTATTTATAATTAAAATATACAGAAAAAAAACGCACTTGAGCAAACTAAGGTATTAATCAGCTTAAAAATTTCTCTTGGCTAGTCCACATTAGGCTCAACGAAAATATGAAAATATGTATGTATGTAACGTTTTTCTTTTCTGGTGATCGCAGGTCTGTAACACATAAGATGCTGTACGGATATTTCGCTCCGTCTTTCGCAGAACTTGCAAATGGCAGCGTGTGTTATCTAAGTAATTCGTCTGAGTTCAAGATCTACAAAGTTAAACTGACAAACCAGACAATTTTTTTTGTTGCTGACTCAAATACGCTGCTTAGATTGTTTTTTAATCCATGTTCTGATGTTGTATAACAAGTAAATATCTCGAGAAAAAGGATTTCGGTTTACAATCTTATCGGTATCAAATGAACTTAAAACAGTTGGGAAATAAAAAAAAGCCACTTTTTTGGCACTCTAAAGACACCAAAGACACGTTTTGAAATATCTGTATTAATTACAGACCGATTTAAGTCAAATATATGTCATATGATACGAACAATATAACAAGACTGTCATTATATGAGTATTGTAGCAACAAATTAAACAGATAGCCTTAAATGGTATTGATAAACAGAACTTTCACAAAGATCTTGGTTTATTTGAAGTACATTTACATTCTTAAAAACATTAAGAAGAGGTTTGCAGTCTAACTACATGTAAAATTAAGATAGTTAATTATAATATAAAATATTTACATATGGTTTGCTTAGAATGTGTTTTCAATATATTTGTATGTATTGTTTTGAAGCAGATGAAAGAAAAATCTGAATTTATTTTTAATGGTTAAATTTACTACTTTTTAATTGATTAAATTATTAAAAAAGGTTTGAATCAAATATAAAACAAAAACACACCAAGTTAATATATGAAGTTTAAAATCGTTTCTATGACTAACTACTTGTAAAACAGAATATTTATTTTGGACAATTCAAATCCGATAATGTCTGTTCTATATAAACACTCTGCTCTAAATTCTTTACAATACCACTGATAAGACTGAGGATTTAACATATCAAACACTAGAGTCGTTGCTCTTCACAAGGTTTCCCTCGAACAAAGTTTTCTATTGTATCAATATTATCAACAGCCAAATGTAGGGTATTACCAAAATCAAAACAAATTTGTAACAAATAATTCTTTTATAAACATATATAAAAAAACCGGCAGAGCATATTTTACGCTCTGAATAATATAAATAAAAAGAAATATAAAATCTCGCTAAGCAACCTTAAGAGTATTTTTTATTCTAGTGACTGGAAGTTCTGCCTTTAGCACGATAAGAGCTTTGCAGTAACCATAAAAAAACACTTTCCAACGTACATAGATACGTGTACAGATACGTATATATAGTTAATGTGAAAATTTTTGCTTAGCAAGAGAATCAAAATGGAATTAGTCTCAGAACGTGTTGAGCATTGTGTTAGATCGGTACAGTTTTCGGTAAACTCGTATTCTATGCAGTAAGACGTACACGCTTTGGTTTAGATAGCCGTACCAAACGGTGTAGTGCTATAAAAGTGTCATATAAAAATATATTGGCGTGTGTCATTTGACAATTAGAAATATATTTAATCTAATTTTATTTTTTTTACTTTCCTTGCACTGAATATATTGTAAGTTTTACCATTTCACGAAGAATATCTTGTATCTTTAATCCAATATCAAATAAGATGTTTGCCCTTGTGTTATATGTATTTATATATTCTCGCGTGGTGTACCGAATTTCACAATATCCGAAACTTATTTGAATTATATTATTTGAACAGCATGAATTTGCAGAATTCAAATTCATAAAACGCTACAAATTAATTCTGCGGAGTGCAAATTAAATTGAAAAAAAATTGGTATTCAATAAATAACTTTCTAGTGTTAAAAGTATAAATTGAAATCTCTGTACTCTGTTATACATTAATTTAAAAATAGTGTGAACGACCGTCTTGACCTAAGTGAATAATTTAACTCTCTAAATTGTAACTGAACTGAAAAGTTAGAAGTCTATAAGAAAATATTTGTTAAATCAGCTATTTGTGAAGTTTTATTTTGACACGAGCGGTAATGTAAGAATGAAGCTAAGGTTCTTCACTTAATATGTTTTATTAAATAAATAAACATATGCAATAATCTAGAAAAATAGACATAAACTTATTATATAAAAATAATGTGTTAATAATATATGTATATACGAAAAAATTTGATATCCGATTGACAATATTTTGTCATAACTAAATTATATGAAGTCTTTGTAATGTGATATAATTGTATGCTTTATAAAAACTTTACTTATTATTATAGAGTTTTTTTTTACATCTATTATAAAGTGTAATATATTATTTTTTAATTATAACAATAATATAATCATTATTATATTTAATATTATATTTATATTATATTTATATTTAATAATTATAATTAATAATTATTTTTGCAATACAAAGATTAAATACGAAAATTATTAATTTACAAATTCGTATTATTAATAAATTATTAATTATTAATAAATTGTTATTACGACCAATATTTATTTAGTTTTTATATATTTTACCGGGTTTAGGTCTTTTAATAAATAATAATAAGAAATAAATTTTTTTAATAAAAATTAAATATAACTAAATATTTAACACTGTTAAAAAAATGTAATTTTTTATTTTATTTAAAAAAAAATTTTCATATAGTGATAACACATTACTAAACGACCTAAGCCCGGTAAAAAATATAAAAACTAAATATATTATTAATTATTAATAATGATCGTAAATTATTAATAATGAAAGATATTGGGAAATTTATTACTTTGCTAACTTACTTGTTTTTTGAGATTACTCTAATATTTAATTAATAGTTTTCCTGCAGGAATCTTTGAAAATTATATTATTGTGAATATATTTACAAAATTATTATAATATTAATATATATAACATAAAATATATTTATATCTTCAAAAATATACAACTAAGCCTAATACCTTTAACCTTTAATGATAGTTATTTGGTTTACAAGAGAGATAATTATCTATATTAAAAAGTTTATATCAAGATGATATTTTGTATTTGCTAAAGTGTTTATATCTTTGTATATAACATTATTATTTATTTTACTCATATTAAACTTTATAGCGAAATTTCAATAAATCTATTTTTACAACTAATTATATTAGGATAGTTAGCTTACAATGTGAAGTTGTAAAGTGATAAAATGATAAATGCCTGCGTTTTATAATTCTATCGCGATAAAGTAATAAAAATGACAAATAAGAGCAAGAAAATGCTATATGTATTTTTACTTTTTGTAAAAAAATGTACTAATGTTTAACAAAATACTAAAAATGCTCAGCCCTAAGGTATCTCAGTAATGTTGTAACTGAACAATTCAAATCAGATAATGAGTGATTTAAAAACAGAGGAACTAAATACTTTCCATTTGTTCTGACAAGACTGAGATTTTATCATTTTAGATTTATCAAATTTTGGAGTCATTAAACTTTGCAAGGTTCAGATCAAACAAAACTTTCTGCTGTATCAATATTATTAACAGCTAAAAGTAGGATGTTCAAATCATAAATCAAACCAATTTTTAACATAAAAAAATGAAATCTCACTAAGCAACTTTAAGAGTATTTTTTTATTCTAGTGGCTGGAAGTTCTGCTTTTAGCATGATAACTGTAATTTACAAAATCAAATATACATAAAAACTATTTAGGATCTCGACTAACATAATAACACTGTGTACTACCAACCACAAAATATATGTACTCAAAATGATTCATGTCGTTGTCGCTTTGCACAGTAACTATATTATTCAATTAATGAATGTGTTACGCGAGATCGAGAATACCCCTACAAAAATTAATTACTTTGCTGACTTACTTATTTTTTGAGATTACTCTAATATTTAATTAATAGTTTTTCTTTAGAAACTTTTGAAAATAACTTCATTAGCAACTTAATTATTTTATAATTAACTTCATACGTTTTTAAAAATTAATAATATAAAATAAATTTATGTTTATAAAATTTCATTCGCTTTAAAACCGATCTGGGAACAGTTATAAACCGACCGTTTTTGATCTAGAATCTACGACCTTTTAGTGTGATTAAACTAAACAACCAACTAAAACATACAAATTTACCCTAAAATCAAATAACAGCATCGAAATTCTGAACTGAGTTTTTCAGTAATAGAAGCGATCCCCAGTCCAGTCCAGGATATACTGGTTCGTTTCTAACATTATTGAATACTATATGATTGTAATATTATATATTGCTAAACGTAATTTTTAAAAATGATCATAATTATTTTTTCCTTAATTTCCTATTAGTTCATTACTTTGATTAAAACATATTTCAACAAGACTTTAAAAAGTGTTTATTTGATATAATAGTATTTATATTAAACTATATAAATGTATGTATCAATATCAATTAATTCTCTTTACTGAATTGAATTAAAACATTGTAGTAAATTCTTTTAATTCCTTATTAGTAGACATCGGAATTCTATGAAATTCTAGATCTGCAAATAAATGTGATTTAAAAAAATTTCAAGAAAAAAACTAGGAACATATCGTTGTCTAAATTCTTATTTATGTAAGTATGTAGTTATTATTTTAACAACATTCATATATTATATGATGCACACTTTAATTATATTTGGAATTTATAATAAAACTCAAAAAATAATAATTAAAATTACTTTGTATCATATTTTTTAAAAATTATTATTTTTCTCGCCTTAAAAACGAAAAACTCAAAAATAACTATTATTTTTTGCAGTCAATAATAAAACTCTTAGCGTGTAACTTATTTTTGGGCAGGAATATATACATACTATCAGCCAGTCAATCTGCTTTAAAGTCCTTGAGTTCAGTCCAATTTACATCTAGGACGGTTTTTGACTGCTACACATCTAAACGAAATGTCGACGCAGCTCAATATTTCGCTAATCTGAGTTCCCGGCCATAGGGATATTTTCGGTAATTGCAGGGCAGACGAGCTACAAAGAAAGGGTGCTTCAGGACCTTACTTGGAACACCTAGACAATTTGGGCATATCGCGAACATCTTTTAAATTATTACTAAACTCTTTCTGTACAGAAATCTTAAACAAAAGATGGAAGACTCAGCGATATGCAGACATCTGTATGCAATCTGGCCACTTTCCGAAAAAGGGAATTCTAAAATTCTCATTGAGATGCCCCGTAGAGACGTCAGTCTCTTTTTCATAAATTCTTAAGACTGAAATTCTATTATTTATATTGTTGTTTATTTAAAGAAATTAGTTGGTGCATATATCTTCCAAATAATATAGAGTCAATATTCAACAAAAAATTTTATAATTTTATCACAAATCAATTTTATATTAATATTTGATATATAAGTAGTGTAAATGGGGAACATATGTATAGCAAACAGTCGCTATTGTAGGTCTGCATATCAACCTCACTATATTTCTGTACTTTTCAATTTCGAAAATTAACAGTAAATTGTGGGAAACAGTAAACTATATCGGTATGGCAGCGAATGTTGGTATTTACCAGAATTTCGAGTAGGATAAATTGGGTAAAAATTAGGAAAAATTTTACATTGTGAAAATTTTAAAAGATGTTTAATAAATAAATAAATAAATTTTTAAAACGCTTAACCAAAAATAATAAATAAGTGCAATAAATAAATATAAACATAAGTGCAGTTGCAAAAAATCCATAAGAAATTTCAATTTACCTTAATTTACTTGAACTCGCACATTATATATTATTATTATTATTGTTTTTATATTTATTATTTTATATGTAATATTAATATATGATGATATGATGATATAAGTATGATAGGGTAATATTCGACCTAAACTTCTATAAATCTGAGAACGTTTTTAATTACTTGTTCATATTGGTAATATCTTATTGTATGTATAAATAAAAACAAGTTAAAAAATATTTCTTATTATAACCATTTATATACTTACCGAAGTAAAGATGTTATTGGGAAATTATTTAACATAAGCGCATCTACATTACCAATCATACATCGGAGCTGGTTTTTTGAAAAGCAATTTAAACAAACATTATGTGACCAACCTAGTATGTTTTTCAAATACATATATATTGTTTATAATGTTAGCTGACTATAATTTCCAAGTGAGTCTAAAACCATGAGTTTGTGTTTATATGTATATTCAAAACGTGTATTATACGAAATGAAAGTATAAACTTTGATTTACCATGTGAACTTTTGAGCTTAAATACAATTCCATCAAATGTTTCAAATTCGTCTATAACAAAAAATATATCGTGTGTTATCAGTAAATACGTATAAAACATACAATTTCGATAAGATTATGTGTTGAATGAATGTCAACTCGGGCCGTCATAAAAAGTTATTTGTTATTAACGAAAAAGAATATAAGTTCTCATAGCTCCTAAAAATGTATGGAATATTCATATATAAAAAATAAAAATATGTTATGCATGAAAAAGTTTTACTGGACCCTTTCCAACATATTTTTTTTAAATGATTTTTTACGTACAAGTAATATGAGTAATAATCATAAATAAAGCTAATTTTATTATTTATTTGTGAAAAAAAATGTATCAATTTTCAGAAAAGAAAATATATTAAAATTTTATCTATTCATATAGGAAAGTATTTTTCAAATAAAAAATATAATTGTAATTATTAGTTTTATCTATATATAGTGCTTAATAGTGCTTAGTCTCTGTAAATTAGCTCGTGATCATATAAAATTTTTCATAAATCTAAGTTATATAAAATGATAATTTATTATGTACAATTAGTATTAAAAGTAATGGTTTCAATCAATAGCTGTCGAAACTATTGATTATAAAATTAAAATAGAAAAAATTAATAGATAAATAGTCTAAAACATTTTTGCAGTCCACAGTACGTTTCTATCGCGTTTACAAATAAATTGATGTAGTATGTAGTACATTGTTAGAACAAAAGTAGATAATGTAGAGAAGAGAGAAATACTGCATACCATGTGCTTGGGGAGTGCCCGGCAGTGACACACAAGCGGAAGAAACACGTACGAGGGTATTTCATGGATCATAAGGATCCAAGACTAGGAAATATAGGCTCTATATTGTCTTTCATTAAAGAAATCGAACTTTGAGAAACATTCTAATCCAACTAAGTGCCATAATAGATCTTTTAGGTCGCAATGCAGTATCCTTTCTTCTTCAATAATAATAGTATAAAAGTCTTTTGTGTGGGAATAACCAAATAGAACAATATTTATATAAGCAGTTGCTAACCCAAATAATTTAGTTTATAACTCATATTATTTAATAAATGTTGAAAACTACTTCCCTTTGCAGTGTGGCTTCTGTATACTACAAGACCTCTAAAATATGTAATTTGCACTTCAATAGATTTAACCTAAATAAAATATACAATTTAAAAAAAAATAGTAAGAAATAAACCAGCTTTCTTAGTGGATTTTAGGCACACAGACAAGTTTTCTAGGGAAAGGATTAAAGTTTTCTTTGCCAATCTGGCGTTTTCTTAAAAATATTTTTGTTTCTTATATATCTTTTTGACTATGGTCTTTACTAGAAAGCATAAGTCCAAGATAGTTTAATCATACTGCTGTATAAAAAAAATTGTGTTTCAGTGTTACAAACGATTGAGTCTTAATTAATTAATACGTTGTAAAATAACAGCGTGAGACTTCATTCAACTTTCTTGAATTATATTATTTTTTATCTAAAAGAATGTTTTACGAAGTAACATTGCAATGTCAATGTTTATTTCAGAAATTATTGCAATTTCAATGCATTGTCATTTTATTCCTAAGGATAAATGGCAGCCAGACTGTCTATCTAGATAGTTTAAAATTACCATATCATTTGTAAACGTTGAAGTGTGAAGAAAATTACTTTAGGAATGAGACAAAGATTAATCAAAACCAAACATTTACATCAAAATTACGGAATATTAATAACGTAAATGTCACCCTAAAAACTGCGATTTGCTTATAGTATTCCAGAACTGAGTATATATTTTAAAGTAGTAATTATTAGTTTTTATTGTTAAGACTATTGAGCGTTCTTACTCAACAATGACTCAGAAAATCATGGAATGTTTTTTTTCATTTCGTTATTATCTTTATCGTTTGGAAAACTAGCACTGCAATTTAGAGATCTATTCTGTGCACTTCATGAATTTAGAAGATTTCTTTAAGTTGAACTCGTTTGATACGGTAACACATAGGCAAATAGGCCTAAGTGATTTTCTAGGAATCGCCCTAATAACTTAACCTAAACTCCCTTAATAAGTTGTAGTATTGTAGTCTTGCGTCTTCATCTGATATAATATATACACCTCGATATTCTTTTTGTTTTGCATAAGTGTCGGTTAACTCCCGGCACGTGCTTTGAGGTCTCCATTAGAGAAAGTTTGCAATTCCGTAAGATAATATTTTAATCCACAGTGCCCTATCAAAATTTGTGTAATAATTCTCAAGTTGTATTTTTTTTGTTTGCATACAATCCTTAAATAATTATGGGTTGAAGGTTGAAACCCTGATAGATTGTCTCCATATAGCTTTTTTTGTTTTTCCTCGAGTGAGTGAGAGAAAATTATAGTTTAGTAGTTCAAAACCAGACTGGTGAAATGAAATCTGGTATTGATTGTTGAGATAATTTGACAGTTTCACGCCAGTGTTTTTCTTACAGAGCTTAGAAAGACATAAAAGTTAGCCCATGAATGTATAGAAAAATTTCATTTCCTTATTTAATTTTAAAATAAAATAGTGTTAATAAACAACATAGTAATGTGGGTTATTGCAAAAATTAAATATTACCTAATATTAATATTAAGAATAATATAATTTAAATATAAACGGTAATATTGTGGGTGCAAAGTAGTATGTACTATACTTAGTACTATTGTACTAAGAATATTATTAATTATGATATGAGTAGCAATATTTTTTATCTTAAAATGTAAAGATTTGTTTGAAAGACTAGGTTAATATAGAACATAAAATCGTTGACATATACTTATCTTTAAATGCCCAATTGCAGCATGAACCCCTCAATTTATAAAAATTGTGTAACCCATATAAGCTTCCCATGAGGAATAATAATGTTTAAGATTTTTGAATTTCCTAGTTTCTTTTCTTATATTACAACAACATTTTATATTATAATATTTGAATTAAAATTATACATTAGAGGGGCTCGAATAGAAATGAAAAGACAAGGTTTGAAGTTTGACTGACCATACAATGCTGTTTCGAGTATTGCCAAATACTCATCATCAGTGGTCTTAGGAAATATTTGTTTTTTTTTAATTAGCCGCGTACTCTCGACTTTAATAAATTAACTAAAATTTTTGTTGTTGTCTTTTCATTTCTATTCGAACCTTTCTAACTTTTAAATAGTTTGTTTTTTTCATAAAACGCGACATTCTCGGCCAAAAAAATATTAACGTTAATAAAATTATACATTTTTCAAAATCTTAAATATGAGTAGAAATATGGCTCATTAAAATTTTCTTTTTAAGGTTTCAGTCATATAGAATTATCGTTGAGCTATTTACTTTTATCATACATATGGTTTTTAGAAACTGGTTTTAATTTGTAACATATTTAATAAATGTCAAAATAAATAGCTAAATAGGCGGTTGTTTATATTAATAATTATAATGTTTATTTTACAAGCTCTACTTTATATAGAGTGAGTTTATTGTATGTAGAAATGTTATATGTCAATAAAGTCTAAAGGTTCTTAATTTAAGATTTTATTTACATACAAATATTGTAAATATATACAGTATTATTTAAAGTGCTTCTCTCAAGTTAACTCAACAAGTTTTAATATTGAAGACAAGGCACTCAATACAATTTGAATGCACATAAAGGAATATACAAATATAAATATATTTTTGTAGTAAACTAATTTTAGTATTACTCATTAAATGTAATATCTAAAGAAAATATCTATATTTTCTTCACATATTATGCACATCATCTAAAAATATTCATTTTTTAAAAATTTGTTGAATTATTTGCATTATCTGTTATTAATTTTTAAAAATTTACTAAGTTCTTTTTATATTATTTAAATTGCAGAGTCAACATTAAATTCAAAATAAAATAGCAATAATATAGTGTTAAAAAAACACTTTCATCAACCTTTCGTACCCCCTTTACACACATCCAACATATATACAAAATGCAATCAATAAAAGCGGATGAACTGCCGGAAAATCCCCGCGAGCGTGCGAATCCACTCTCAACGCTTATGTTTTGGTAAGTTAAAAAATCTATTTTTTTTTCTATAAAACAATTGTAAAAATATATACATATATATTATATGATCAAGGCCATAACTGAAACTATATATTGTATATTAGCGCTTGTAAACAGCAATTTAATTCGCTTATAAATTATAATTAATGTAATTATTACAAAAACATTTTAAGTGCTTCTCACCATTTATTTATTTTTTCGAAAAATAATGCTTGAAATAATTATTTTATTATTGTTATTAATTTTTTTAAAATTTATTTCTTTTTAGTTTTACAATGCCCACATTTTTTAAGGGCCGAAAAAAAACTTTAGATCAAAATGATCTCTATCGAGCTTTACAGGAACATAGATCAGGTAAGTCTGTAACAAACTTGTTATAATTGAACTATAGAAACTAGAGTATAATATAGAGTATTAATACTAATACTATACTAGAGTATAGTATTAGTAATTAACTACTCAATCAAATTATATATTTATAAAAGCTAAAAGTTAGATTTGACTGTTGCTAACAGTTCTTGTCATTAAACTGATCATTTCTGATAATAGTTTAGAGCAGGGCTGTTCAAAGCACGGCCGGCAGGCTACCCGTGGGTAATATTTGTAGATGTTTTTAATCTATTACAATTACACAAATTTTCTTTTGATCTACTGGTAAAACTAGCTTATTTTATTTTTATGGTATGCCAAATAAATTTAAATTGATAAATTAATGAAACTAAATTTAACATTATAACCTTATTTTTATTTTAATCAAAAACAACTATGAACGTATGTATTTCTTTCTTCGGCCCTTCAATCTGTACAGTGATTTGTATTGGCCCGCGAACGCATCTGGTCTAGACAGCTTCGGTTTAGAAATCATCTGAAGAAGAATTTTTTAAAAATGATTTCTATAAAGGTTAACTTTTAAATTAACCTTTTTAATTCTACTTATTCTATTCTAATTCTAGTAATTTTTAAAAATTAACGCAAAGGTTAAATTTATGATAATACAGGTTTTTTAATTTTGGAATAGCATTTTAAACATGTTTTAACATTTTTATTAAATAATTCGTAATTAATTTTAGTTATAATTAAAATAAAAAAATTTAATTGTAGTATAAAAAATGAATTAGATGAATTTATTTCACCTTGCATTTTATAATTTTGTAATGAAATTTTTAAACGTGGAAAACTAAAACTACAATCATTAACGAATACATATTTAGTTTAAACTCTATAATCTATGAATATAATTTAGAAAATATAGTATGTAATTTTAAAAAATTACTAATTCTATTAAATCAGGTAACAACAGAGAGATAACAAAACACATTAAATTTCATTCTGTTGTAATAAACTATAATGAATATGTAAATATTTATACATATCATATGTAAAAGTATCACAAATTTACATATACTGTTTATTTATTTAAATTGAATTTTTATCATTATAACGTTTATTAATTTATTTTTAACAATTTGTTTTCTTTTTATAAAATATATTAATATTACACATTAAATATCAGTATCCTGCTCTTGACTATCCAAATATTAGTTTTAAAAAGTATATAATAACTTTATTATTATTAACTTTGTTATGCTAAAATCTATATCTATACTGCACATTCACATAATAAACACGAACACACCAAAAGCAATTGAGACCTCTCCCTCTCTTCAATTCAAGATTTTGCATATTACTTAATCTTTAAAACTGTACCCATTGAACAATTTTTATAAATTTTATCAGTCAAAATAAACAATACCCATTATCATAAAGTGCTTTATTTTCACAGTAATAAAAAGTTTTATATATTAACTTCCTTGAATACACCTTCTGCTAGGGGATTTTTTATATAACTGAATATTAGATTACAAATGGTATCTACCAAACTATTTTTAATCATTAATTTCTAAATATCAAACAGAGGCCACAATCCCCTCTCGGGGATTGTGGCCTTGTCGTGGCGAGGGGGCTTAGTAGGGTGCAATGATCCTGAGAGCGATGCCGGCGGTAGCGTAGCTACTGGTAGGGCCTCCCTTGCCGGTAAGGTCAAAGAGGAGCATCTGAAGCTAAGAGCAATCCACAACGGTTCGCGACCCGGATGGTCTTTTTCCTTCATGACGTCCCGGGATGTAGGCAAGATACAGCATCATCAATCTTCGCTAAGAAGCCCACCGTTTTCTCGGACTCTCGAGTCTGAAGGTCTGACTGGTGGCCTTAACTGGCAGCCCCAGTACCAGTATAGGATGCATGGGCTAATCACTCGTTCATCTGAATCTACACGATTACTGAAACCGAAACAAATAATTATAACCAACGGCTCCCTTTGATGACGACTATTGGAATGAAAATACGGAAACGATTCGGAACCTGGAATATAAGAACTCTAGCAGAAACATCAAAACTTGCTCAACTTGAACGTGAATTTGTACGTCTCAATCTTTTATTCATCGGGCTAAGCGAAGTAAGATGGAATGGCTGCGGCGAATACAAAACATCCTCCGGCGCTACACTCATATACTCTGGAAAGGCCACAGGCGAAAAAAGAGAAAGTGGAGTAGGCTTTCTATTATCCAAAGAAGCTAAACAAGCGCTCATAGAATGGCAACCACATGGCGACCGAATAATTCTGGCAAAATTTAAAACTCGAGCCAGAACCCTCACATGCATACAGTGTTACGCGCCTACTGAAGTCACCGACCCACAAATCAAGGAAAATTTTTATGACTCCCTATACTCTGTTTTAAATAAATGCCCTAGAGGTGAAATAAAGCTCGTCATGGGAGATTTCAACGCACAAATCGGGCCAGATAACAATGGAAGAAAGCAAGTGATGGGTAAACATGCTCTCGGCACAATGAACGATAATGGGGAGCGTTTCTATGAATTATGTAACACCATGGGCCTCACCATAGGAGGTAGTCTCTTCCCGCACAAACATTTGCATAAAGTCACTTGGGTTTCCCCAGATAATGCAACAGAAAATCAAATCGACCACATTGCCATCAGCAAAATGTGGAGACATTCATTATGTGATGTCAGAAATAAAAGAAGTGCAGACATGACTTCTGACCACCATCTACTAATCGGTGAAATACAACTCAAATTAAATGCGGTCTTTAGAAAGCCACAATTCAAAAGGAAACGGTTCGACCTCGCCAAACTCGACAACCCTACTGTTCAAAATAACTATCAATCTCTTTTATCGGCCCAAATCCCTAATCCCTTGCCACTAGAAGAAGAAATCTTTGAAGCCGAAACTTATTGGGAACAAGCAAAATGTGCCTTCACTGAAGCAGCACAACAAAGTGTCGGTATTCCTCAACGTCAAAATAATCCGTGGATCACCGAACATACATGGAATCTTATAAAAGCGCGCAAAGGAGAAAAAGAAAAGGTTAACAGGGCAAGAACGCGCCAAACAAAGCAACAGGCACAAGCCAACTACAGTATTGCCAACCGCAAAGTTAAACGCAGCGCTAGAGCCGATAAGCGCAGATGGCTCGACAATTTAGCAACAGAAGCCCAAAAAGCAAGCGAATCACATAGGCTCAAAGACCTACACAACATCACTAAAACTATGGTGGGACGTAAACACAGGATTGCAAAGCCAATAAAAAATACCAGGGGCGAACTAGTACACTCTACCGAAGATCAGCTAAAAGTTTGGGAAGATCACTACAGAAATCTCCTAGCGGGAAACAACACCTATCCTCAGCAGGAACTATGTAGTAGACACCACGAACATGTTGCTCGCAACGATATAAACACAGATGTACCTAACATCAGTGAAATTGAGGCAGCAATAACTCAGCTTAAAGCAGGTAAGTCCGCTGGTCCGGACAATATTGCCCCCGAACTGCTCAAAGCAGACAAAATTTCAGCTGCTCAAATTATTCAACCAATTGTCAACAACTTCTGGTCCCAAGAGTCATTACCGCCTAATCTTAAAGACGGCATCATTATTAATATACCAAAGAAAGGTAACCTGATGGAATGCTCCAACTGGAGAGGCATAACTTTACTAAATGTAGCTTATAAAGTTATTGCTCAAATTTTACATAAACGTTTAACTTCGGCCGCTGAGCCTACACTACGAGCCGAGCAAGCAGGATTTAGGCATAATCGATCATGTGCCGACCACATAAACAGCCTTCGAATAATAGTCGAACAGTCTAGCGAATGGCGATCTCCCCTATACTTGCTGTTTATCGACTTTAAACGTGCATTCGATACACTTCTCCATACCACCATCTGGTATGCATTAGAGTGTAAAGGTATACCGAGTAAATTAATAAATTTAGTAAAAGGCTTGTACTCTGACGCGCACTGCTCAGTACTTCACGAAGGGCGTCTCAGCGGGCAAATCCAAATTAAGTCTGGCGTCCGACAAGGTTGCATTCTTTCACCTATACTATTTAATATAGTCTTAGATGTGGTTATGTCGGAAGCTATGAGCACAAACCATGGCATATCATTCGGCCTTCATAACAAACTTACTGACCTCGATTACGCTGATGACATCTGTTTACTAACGCATAACTTTTCCCAGATGCAAATATCGTTAAACAACATCGCAAAGCGTGCATTGGCAGCTGGTCTGTCAATCAATATCAACAAAACCAAGTCTATGCGTCTCAATTCAAACTGCTTAACGAAGTTTCAACTAGATGGCTCCTACATCGAAGATGTACAAAGTTTCTGCTATCTGGGAAGCTACATTTCGAACAACGGCGGCAGTCGGCAAGACATACAGTACAGGCTATCGAAAGCGAAGCAAGCGTTTGGAACCCTTAACAAAATCTGGCGTTCATCCAACATCACACAACGCACTAAGATACACCTGTACAATGCAAACGTAAAATCAACTTTACTATATGGTAGTGAGAGTTGGAACCTAACGGCAAGAGACGCACAACAGCTACAAGCCTTTGCCAATCGTTGTCTACGACGCATCCTTCATGTATTCTGGCCAGCAACCTTAACCAATAATGAGCTCTGGTTTAGAACGAATCAGCCTCTTATAACTGATGAAATAATGATGCGCAAATACAAATGGCTTGGCCACACGTTAAGAAAACCCGCTGATGATATCGCAAGAAATGTCTTAGATTTCAACCCTCAAGGCAGTAGAAGACCAGGGCGTCCGCGCAACACTTGGAAACGACAAACTGAAGCCGAATTAAGAAATGCTGGAAAGAGCTGGAGTGAAACAAAACGTCTTGCATTAGATAGAGTTCAATGGAAACTATTTGTTACGGCCCTCTGTTCCACCTAGGAATAAAAGGATTAAATAAATAAATAAAAACAGTAGTTCGATATTTTTTTTATAATTTAAGAACAATTTACAGTATTGGGTTAGT